TGGTGTTCTTTTCTTGAGCATCATTATAGAAACCACGCTTGCAGTCTCCACATAGCGTATCATGTGTTGTGTTACAGAGTCTTTCTATCTTTTTACCAACTTCACATTTTGAACACTTTGTACAAGTTGACGAGTCTTTGACATCTGAGAATGTCATTCCAGGGATACAAGACAAACACTTAGGTTTTTTATCTGGGGTAATTACAGAGGAGCACTTGGGACTCAGCCCTTCTCCTACTGGGCATTTAGGACAGTCGATGCAGGTTCTATTGAGAAACTTGTCAACAAATACAAACTGCTTGTTTGTACATCTTGGTTGGCAAAGGAAAGCATCCATAGCAGAGCATTGTTTGTAGAAAGGAATCCCATGTCCTTGACAATCTTTGATAGGACTAGACTGTGATTCCTTGCAGCACCACGAACATTCCTGGCAATCAAATGTTACTGGACTGTAATAGAACCCATGGTCACAGTTCATACCACACTTAGAGTTATTCGTTGGTGTACACTTTGAAATTTGATCCATGTGATCTGTACATATCCCACAAGGCTTACAGGAGCTGATGTCATTACTTGTAGAATACGTAATACCAGCTTTACAAGGTTCGCATCGAAAACGGCGACCATAACTGATTGTAGAGCCACATTGAGGCGTAAGCCCATGACCCAAAGGACAACTAGGGCAGCTGACACAAGACTTGTTACCGAATAAATCCTCGACTATAAACTCGTTGTATTTGCAGCTTGGTTTGGCGTGAACAGTTTGACTGCAGATCTGAAAGTGAAAATATCTATGCTTTGTTATCGTGGAAATAGATTTACTGAATAAGATATATGGATTCCTGACATCCACAACATTTATTATACATCAAAGCAAACGAAATGCGACTAAATGAAAGACTAATGTATACTCACATATAATACAATAACAGAGAGCTTCAAAGAGACCACGGCTCTTCTTCGTTGATTGTGCGTCATAGCTTGTTCGTTCGGTTGAGTTACAAAACTTAGTACGAATAAAATAGAACTTGAGGAATAAACACCTTCGTCTTTTGATTTCTCGAATGCCAGTGCTTCCCTTTATCAAGAAATATCAGCTTTGCATCGTCCCAAGGAAAAGAGTAAACTAAACCTTCGAATAAATTGTGCAAGGCAATCACTTTTCAGATACCGTACATGTATTCCGGGAAAACCTATTTCGGGGATTCCCCTGGAAGCCATAGCACGTGGTAGCTACGTGATCCAGTGGGGTATAAACCACGTGGTAACAAACAACCAATAAAAGATGGTACAAATCAAAACTATTCACACACGTGATCACTTGTTGGTTGGCCATACAAAAAAAGATCACTGTGAAAACTCTAGGGGAAACTGGTTTATTAATTAATGCGCTTGGAAACATGAAGTTTCATTAGACATTCTACGCATTTTAGGATTATATTTTTTCTTTCCATGCAATCTAAAGCCCTCCATGGATCGATGGTGTCTTTGTAAAGATTATCGAGAACTTCAAAGTAAGACATTTAACAAATTTTGCTGATAAGCAGAAAAGCTCAGTAAGGTAAGGTAAAAGTTTTCAAAACACTCTGTAATCTTCTTTACTTTAGATTAGAGCTAAAACAAAGAGTGATTTCATAAAAGAATAGAATAGTTAGAATAAGACTAAGGAATAGGACTGCATGTCTTTTAGAAGCCTGATGACGATGTGACTTACCGGGGCTCCATCTAACTTTGTCGTTCACCTTTTCGGCGACTACGCGATTAGAATTACGAGACTAAATTCCTGTAGCGAGAACATTTTGGTTCTCGTGTCATCGAATGAAATTACGGATTGTGAACACCCATTCAATCAAAATTAACAAAGAATTTTTTTCGAGACGCAAAGCCTGGCGTGAACCTACCGCGGGTGTCGACCTATTAGAAGTATCGGACAACTCTAAGGGTATTAAACCTTGTTAATTTTAATCAAATCTCATCCTTTAACGACCGGACATACCCAACTTAATACAAGCAACTGGGATGACAATAGAGTCATTTTCATCCGTCTGTGAAACAATTACTACTAGTCAGTGTTTTAGTAACTATTATAGGGTAGTAAACTACCAAAAGGGAAAATCAAAACTGTGTTTGCCTAATTACTTTGTCGCATGTCATAAGTTAAACTATTGGGAGCTAATAGGAGGTAATAGTATTTAATAGTACAATTATTATTTCACAGACGGATGAAAATGACTATATACAATACTGAGTCCCAAGTTTTCACATAGCATAATGCTATTTTGTAATATAGCTATTGTATTCACAGGAAGATATGGCAAAAAGACGCAACACATGGGATGGTGGTTCCAAAAAACCATATGTCAGAATACCAGTTTCAGAATCAAATGATAGTATTCATAGTCCAATAGGTAAGATTGAGAAAAGCATCCTTACAAATAGAATTAATGATGACATATGGGTGACATGTTTTGGACAAATAAAAGAATTTGGTGAAAGGCTTCCTGGCTCACCAGATGTATAACCCTTGATCATCAGTAGCTGTGCCAATATGAATGTGTGCACTTCGTAAAAGAACATTCATCCTACTCTGACATATCTCAGATCACTCAAGGCTTCCTCAAGGCTTTTATTTGAGATTGAATTACTACAGCTGACTCTGATTTTCTCAGTGATCCAAATTTTTATGGATTGATTAAAGTCAATTTGTTGAAGTATTGCCAATATGGCTGTCGTAACCACCAGAAAGGCAACAATATACACATCATGCAAAACGCATCAGAAAAAAAAACATAATTTAATCTTCTCCCAAATTAACTGTTCAAATTTAATTTGTTCTTTAGAGGAAAAAGGCCATGATCCAGTACCTGTAAGGCTTATGTTATACGATTTGTCACCACCACAGTTTGGGCATTATTCACTAAGAATGGTGACAGACAGACACAAAGATGAGGTAAAACTTTCTCCTAAAAATATAATAATGGTTTGAAATCAAATGTGCGATTTGTAATTATTGCAATTTTTACCTGTACTGTAACTGCATCCTATATGAATAATTGATTAAAAAAAATTACCACCAATCATTTTCGATGTGAAATCTTGATTTTTGAAAATGTATTTGTTCTTTTAGATATGCAATATATTCACATTGTTATGATGAAACATTCATGATTTTCCTATTGTTGTCATGACAACAGGTTATTTCAGCCCTTGTTGAATCACAAAACTACAAACCCATTGGGTTTGTAAATGAACCTGATGGAGATGCCTCAGAACCAATGCATTATGTGTGGTCTGTGCAGATGAAAAAAAAGGTTGCCGTAGAAGTGCGCTTATTAAGTGATATCAATTTGAATGCAAACCAGTGCGAGATAAAGTTCCTCTCAAAGGTAAACATTAAAGAAATCATTGAATAATTAACATTCAACATTCTTAAATACGTAATGGCATTTTATACATATACCATGGTTGCATAAAATGAAGTAAAAAAAATAACAAAAATAAAAAAATAAAGANAGTCTTGCAATAACAATAACAAACACCACATACAATGATAATGGAAACAAAAGCAAGTACAGACAAGACAATGACAAGTGTATAATTAGACTTTGGTTGAAGTGGATGGCATTTTGTGACAGCCCTCGTAGTATATGCACATTGCTTATCTGTTGTCAGTCCTTGTGCCTCACATTCTGGAACCCTTACATCACCATTGTCTCCACAACAATAAGAGCATTCCTTGCATTTAATGGTGTTCTTTTCTTGAGCATCATTATAGAATCCATGCATGCAGTCTCCACATAGCGTATCATGTGTTGTGTTACAGAGTCTTTCTATCTTTTTACCAACTTCACATTTTGAACACTTTGTACAAGTTGATGAGTCAGTGACATCTGAGAATGTCATTCCAGGGATACAAGACACACACTTAGGTTTGTTATCTGGGGTAATTACAGAGGAGCACTTGGGACTCAGGCCTTCTCCTACTGGGCATTTAGGACAGTCAATGCAGGTTCTGTTGAGAAACTTGTCAACAAATACAAACTGCTTGTTTGTACACTTTGGTTGGCAGAGAACAGCATCATCAGTAGAGCATTGTTTGTAGAAAGGTATTCCATGTCCTTGACAATCTTTGATAGGACTGGACTGTGATTCCTTGCAGCACCACGAACATTCCTGGCAATCAAAGGTCACTGAACTGTAATAAAACCCATGGTCACAGTTCTTACCACACTTAGAGTTATTCGTTGGTGTGCACTTTGAAATTTGTTTCATGTGATCTGTACATATCCCACAAGGCTTGCAGGAGCTGATGTCATTACTTGTAGAATACGTAATGCCTGCTTTACAAGGTTCGCATCGAAAACGACGACCATAACTGATTGTAGAGCCACATTGAGGCGTAAGTCCATGGCCCAAAGGACAACTAGGGCAGTTGACACAAGATTTGTTACCGAATAAATCCTCGATTATAAACTCGTCGTATTTGCATCTTGGTTTGGCGTGAACAGTTTGACTGCAGATCTGAATGTGAAAATATCTATGCTTTGTTATCGTGGACATAGATTTACTGAACAAGATACATGGATTCCTAACATTCACAACATTTATTAATACATCAAAGCAAACGAAATGCGACTAAACGACAGACTAATGTATACTCACGTATAATACAATAACAGCGAGCTTCAAAGAGTCCACGGTTCGTCTTCGTTGATTGTGCGTCATAACTTGTTTGTTCGGTTGAGCTACAAAGCTCATTACAATATTAAAAGCGAACTGGACGGATAACACCGTCTTTTGATTTCTCGTATGGAAATGCTTTCCTTTATCAAGTAATATCAGCCCTGCATCGTCCCAAGGAAAAGATTAAACCGTAATACTTTCCTTTGAATAACTTTTTGCAAGGCAATCACTTTTTAACAAATTCTCGGAACCTATATGACGGGGATTCCCCCAAGCACAATACCACGTGGTTACAAACATCCAAATAAGGTCAAATTCAATAGAAACTTGTAACAGGGTTTATTATTCTGTGAATAGTTGCGCAGAAAATACGTGTGGAAATATGCAGTTTTAGATAGATCTATTCCACGCAACATAGTATTATATTTTTTCTTCCTATGTAATATAAGTCTTTCGTGTATCGACGGTTTCTTTGTACTATCTATATTGAAAGACTTTATCAAGAACTTTGTTCCAAGCAAGAGACGACAAATTTTGCTGATAAGCCACAATTGTTCAGGTGAGGTTAAAAGTTTTCAAAACACTCTGAAAGCTTCTTAACTTTAGATTAGAGCTAAAATAATGAGTTATTTCAAAAAAGGTTTGTTAGAATAGGACTCAAGCGCCTCAAGAATCGGACTGCATGTCTTTTCGAAGCCTGATGATGATGTGACTTAACCGGCGCTGCATCTAACTTTGTCGTTGTCCTTCCTGGCGACTACGCGATAAGAATTACGGGAAATTAAATTCCTGTAGCAAGAAGATTTCATTTTTCGTGTTATCAAATGAAATAGCGGACTGTGAACACCCAGTAAATCAAAATTGAATAATTCTTTTGGAGACGCAAAGCCTGTAGTGGACCTTCGGGGCCCAACCTATTAGAAGTGTCGGACAACTCTAATAGCGCATTAAACCTTGTTAATTTTAATCGAAATCTCATCCTTCAACGACCGGACACATTCAACTTATTACATACAAGCAACTAGGACCCTCCCCTCCCCCACCTGCAAACTCTGTTCATCTGCCTTTGAATTTCTCATAGCGATGACCTTTCAACATTTAGACTAATAAAATATACAATATTGTACATATGTATTCAGTCCCAAGTTTGCACACAGCATAGTACTATTTTTGTCATATAGCTATTGTATTCACAGATATGGAAGATATGGCACAACAGTCACATGTCCAATGTGTCAGTACACCAGATGCAGAACCAAATGGTGGTATTTTTCCTAGTTCAATAGGTGAGATTTAGGTAACATTTTATTATCCTTTCAAATGTAGCATTAATGGGAAAATTAAAAAAAAGTATGAAATGTACACACTGGCTTACCAGATGCATATGCTAATTAAGGTAGTACCCTTAACCCTTGTTATTGAGCACCAGTTGTGTGTATATGAATGTGTGCACTTACCCTGTGAGAGGGTATTTCCTTACCTCAATAAAAATTCGTGAAGGAAAATAAGTTATTTAAGTAAGTAAAAATAAGTTACTCGGCTCGCAGGGTAGTGTCCACTTTGATAAAGAACATAAATCCTACTCGGAAATATCTCAGATGACTCAAGGCTTTGTGATTGAATTACTACAGCTCTATCGACTCTTATTTGCTCTGTGGTCCAACTTTTTTGGCTGGTTTACAATCAATTTGTTGAAGTTCCACCAATATGGTTGCCGTGACCACCAGCAAACCAATATGTCTGGCAATATACATAAGGAAAAAAATAATAATTCAATCTTCTCCCAATTAACTGAAATTTAATTTTTCTTTAGAGGAACAAGGCCATGATCCAACCCGTGTAAGGCTTATGTTATTTGATTTATCATCACCGCAATTTAAATTTGGGTATTATTCTCTAGGAATAATGGCAGATGAACATAGAGATGAGGTAAAACTTTCTCCTAAAAATATAATAATTGTAATTGAACAGAATTTGAATATGCAATTTGTAATAATTGCAATTTTAGCTTGTAACTTGTAACTGCATCCTAAAACATATTAATGATGATAATTTGAATGTTTTATTTGACAATCAATCCTTTTCGATGTGAAATCTTCATTTTGGAATTTATTCCTCAAAAGCTTATTGTACATTCCCCAAAATGTATGTGTTCTTTTAGATATATACCGTATTTACTCGAATAGACGCCGCAGCGTTTATTTTATTTTTCACGAATCAGCTGCGGCGTTTATTCGAGGGCGGCGTCTATTCGAGGGCGGCGTTTATACGGCGTACTACATACCATACTTTATATTGTATCTTTTTACTTACAAACAGTAACGAATCTCAATATATGAATTTCGTGTTCATTTTGTCTATTCAATTTATGATTTTAACCAGAGTTAAACTTCTATTTCAACATCAATGTCCTCCTCATGGTCGGAATCTTACAGCTGCTGAGAGCAAAAAGTACAGAGTCACTTTCGAAATAAAAAATGCTCTAAAAGAAAATAAATTCCCATTGCTGATATCATTATTTCCTCAAATTGACGCCACACCCAGATGCGGCGTATATTCGGGGGCGGCGTCTATTAAAATTTTGAGCTTTAAGTGCGGCGTCTATTCGGGGGCGGCGTCTATTTGAGTAAATGCAGTAATATATTCACAGTATTGTAATGTTCAAAACATTCAAAGGTTTTTCCTATTGTCATGACAACAGATCCTTTCAGCCCTTATCAAATTACAAAATTACAAACCCATTGGTTTTGTAAATGAACCTGAACCTGATGGCTCTGAACCAATGCATTATATGTGGTCTGTGCAGATGAAAAACAAGGTTGCCATAGAAGTGTACTTACTAAATGATGTCAATTTGAATGCAAACCAGTGCGAGATAAAGTTTATTTTACAAGAGGTAAACAATGAAGAATTCATTGCATAATTAATATTCAACATTCTGATTACTGAACTTAATCATATGGTATTCTATTCATATATCATGGTTGCATAGAGTTAAGGTATCTGGGAATAATTGAAGGGGCGGATTTGAAAACTACGTAAGTGACGATTTAGGGTATTTTTGAAATTTTTGAAAAATTGACAAAAATTGCTTCAATCATTTGTTTTTGGTCTAAATAATCATGTTTGCTAGTTATTTCTCKTGATTTCCTTTTAAAAAGCGGAAAAAAGTAGACATTTAGTTATGGACTCTACCCTCCCCTCCCCCAAACTTTAGCATAGGGTTAGTTCCAGCCTTATGCAAGGGTTAGGGTTCCTATAACCTAAGACAGGGGCTAGGGTTCCTTGATTCAGGGGTAGGGCTAGAAGGGTTAGGGTTTAGGGTAGGGTAGGGTTAACGTTAGCTAAGGGTTAGGCTCTAAAATATGAGTTTGTAAAGCAAACAAATTCAGCCTTCCAATCCATCAGATCATTGAAGTGATGTGCACACACATGTAGATTTTACTTTTCCTCAGATTTAGCGAAGCAAAAATAGCTATCATCCATAAGTCCTTGCTTACCTGTTTTCGTTTTTAAATTTTCCAGCTGTGCTTTTGTATTAAATTTATGCAGGTCATATTCCCTTCTTCCCTCTGAGTGAAAAAGGTTTAAAAGTTCTTCGTTTACAGGAATTTCTCTGGCAGGTCAAGAACCTACTATTCTAGGTCATGCATTTTCATTTTAACAACTGGGTGGTTCATGAAATTTTGTGAAAATGTAGGTGGGTCAGAGATAATTAACTTATGCTTATGACCACCACAGATTTAAGCTCTTAGTAATATAATACAATATGAGCAGGCGATATGTATGTAATATACAACTCTCTTCATGGGCTATGATTTCTATTGTGTTTTGCCTTATGAATATTAATGAGTTTTATAAAGCTTATTCTAGAACTCATTAATAATTCATGAGCTATTAGTCCAATCAGAATCCAACTATTGGGTCACATGATGGACCTTTATATCCCGATAAAGCACTGATGTTTTATTAATCAGTTCTATTAATCAGTCCTATATCAGATATAAAGAACTGATGTTGAAGGTCATCAGCGCTTTATCGCAACCCAACACTAGCGAAGGTCTCAGTTTGAATGTCGCATCATAGACCTTTGCTAGGTTTTAAATCAGTTTGAATCAATGTGCAGATATGCAGTATAGCATAGACTAGCCGTTCTTACGTGTGGGATCAAAATTMTTTHATTTGTGACAAATGCACATGCTCAGTAGAAGTTTAACATGCATAATCTCTGGCCTTTGGCCTCGTGTCTATATCTCCCGATAAAGCACTCCTGCTCGTTTTTTAAACACTACTATTAATTTTTAATGATTTAAGTTATAATCCACACACACACACCTATACTTTATGACCAGTCCCTTAAACACTTTCTAAAATATTCAATTCTGTACTTACAGCGAGAGGTCAAAAGAGAAACCATTGAGTCCAAACCCGCCTACAGTCGGCTTCAAACAGATATATGTGCTGAAGTTCAATTCACAATTCAGGCAAGATGTGATACGAGCAAAGGTGCACGGTTTAGAGTTGTTGTTCGGAGTGACATTGAGACGAAAAGCAAGGACTACAATTGTCTTGTAAGTAGGAAGTGATAATTTCAAATAGATGAAACACTTACAGTATTATAGGTTTGTTAATTTTGTAAAACGCAAGACGAAATCCCACGAACTAATATTCACACAGGCAGGAAACTACAGGCAGCCCAACTAGATTCCTTATGTGTGTATTACAACCAAATTACAACCTCGTTCCTAGGGCTACTCTGCTCGCTTTTTTCAAAATGTCCGCCATTTCGCCATTTTGAAAAAAGCGAGCAGAGTAGCCCTGGGAACGAGGTGTTTTTCAGTCGAATTTTGTCGCGTTTTGGGTTGCCTGTGTTATCACATGCGGAAGCCTGGAAGCTCAAACGTATAGATGTACGAATATCGTTAGTAAATGTTAGATTCTACTTGCGCTTTTATGTGATAAAAAAAACTATTCGTTTACAAATGTGGTATCTGTGATCTCATCGGAATGCATCGGTCTAGGCATCAGAAATACGAGTAGTCATATATATGACTCATATGGGATTACGCTTTCCACCTATTTTTCAGTTCATGCGTGAGCCACCTAAATATCGCGTAGACCGTGTAGCGCATCCCGTTGTTACGGTAAGTTTGCTCGTTTTTTTCCTAATGTGTAACTTAAGAAAGAGTAGGATCCCTCTTCGGATCCCTTTGGGCGAGCGAGTGGGGCCATACAGGCTATCGTTCTGATTCATGGCCGAATGAATGAATTGTGGAGGAAAACAGCAAAACAATCATTGGCTTATAGTTATGTCGCCACGGTTCCGCCGCCCTGTGCTATTTCGTTCCCCTCTAAACTGTACTTCTTTTATTTCAATAGGGACGGCACTAAGATTCAAAGTATTCAGTGGTTGTTCGGGAGAGATATTTTATACGGAGATGTATTTTTTTTCATACGACGTGAACGAAAACAATGGACCGGGCTGGGAGCGCATAATCAATATTTTTTTTAAACAGCTGTCCTAAATTTTCTGGAAGGTTCCCCAACACCAAGCCCATCAATCCTTCGCAAGATTAGATATCAAATAAGAAGTCTATCTATCCCAGTCGCCTTAGGGCCGCCAGGCAGGCTGTATTACAAGACCGAAATGCATTGTTGTTGTGGGATTTCACGCAAGCTTTCATAGGCACAGATCTAGTATAGTCACTACGACGACCAACAATGCATTTCGGTATTGAAATATACTGTCTTGCTACTGAGTTTCTGAAATGGTTACCATGTTTGCGTTCTGTTTGCAATGCATCAGTTGTTCAATTTTCCAGAAAAATTTCATCTCTTGTATAAAATCTCTTCTCGTACAGCGATTAATATGAATCTTGCAAAGGCATGGCGACGCAGTTCGTCCAACGCCACACGTTGACACGGCTACATCAAGGCCGGAACGTCTGAGTGATCTTCAGCGATACTTCGGTCTGAGGCTTGGGATTCCTGTCTTTTTACGGCGACCCAGAAGAGGGAAAATGATAGCGAGAGGACCTGTTTTCCCTCCTCGTCCCCAGTCCCTGCGGATATGAGTCGCCTGACAGATCCCGAAGATGTCGATCCCGAACTAATAGATACCTCGTGAAACAGGTCTCATTTGTAGAATTAAAACTCGCAGAAAACACACGCAAATAAATAAACTTGCACAAAAATGGTAAAAGTTGTTTCTTTGTGTAGCATTTTTTGTTTAGATAGAAGCAAATACGAGTAAATTTGCTTTAAAAATACATACATACATACATACATACATACATACTTTATTCGTCCCCCTGAGGGCTTTTCAGAATAAATATTACATAATCAACTCATACAGCCTTTTGCAAAAATTATGAGAATTGTTGAAATATCTAAATATCATAATATCAAGTGCATGATGGATAATCCCGCGCGATGCCCTTAGTCCCTTGTCTTTGTAGTTTAGTTTTGTTTTTGGCGACTTACATATCCGTAGTTCTGAACATTTTCTCGATGTCAACAATGAATTATTCTAGCAAACCC